CTTCCATTTATTCTCCTGAATTTTAATGCAACCGTTTATCACCGGCTGAAATATTCAATACGCGGCATCAGCCTGCGCGTATTCTACCATCGAATGCCATTTGTAGACGTCATACTTCGGGAAAAAGAAGATTAGTTGCACTTCTTTACATTTCTATATTTCTTTTCGTGATATATGTACCGTTCGTCTTATAAATATGCAAATCAATCATATTTTACAGATATTTATATCGCAGTCTGATATAAAATATTTCTGTAAACTTAACATACGTAATTTTAATAATAATAATAATAATAATAATGTTTTATTCTAGTCTTATCGTCCCAAGAATAGGACTAGGTTTACACTTAATATTATTAATCAAAACACTATCTTTTTTTGGTATACAATCACATTTAACCTGATCAAATATATTTTCATGATCTTTGCTCTTCTGCCTTTTTTAATTTCTTATCCAGAATTTTTAACCAGATTACCACACCTTTCTCCCATTTCCCTCCTAATATTTACTTAACAGCACATTCCCCTCTCGCTAAAACGACGCAATCCTCCAAACAGTGTTTCAACGTTCCCCGCCCTTTCTCACATATATTACATATCTTTCTATCCTTGCCTAGCCAATATTTATTACATTATAAGGTTTCATACTTAATACTTGTTTACCATAACTTGCTCTCGCTATTAGCTAATAACTATTGGCTCTTGCCTCTTTTACATATGTAATTTTATAATAGAAAATAATTTTTACATAGCAGATAATCCGTGAAAATTATTACTACCGCGTTCTTGGATTATGTAGTATACAAGTCAGGGAACAGGTTCGAGAATAAAAGTTGTACGACGTGGGCGTAATGTATGCATGTTCAAGTTTCCAAGAGTTTAATTTAATTAATTGACGCGTTCTAGCTCGCATAAGTGGTACGTGACGTCTGTTTGTCTTTCGAAAATATCCAATATTCCTCGAAAGAGGATCTGTTACCTATTAGGTATACATACATGTAATTTTATTACGAAAAACGGGCAATTATTATTCCGTCAAAGTTTAAGCAAAGTTTAAACAGGATTTGTGCCGTGATAACTGGATAAACAAGCTGGAAATTGTTTAACACACTTAAACCCTTCCTGATCGCTTTATCTCTTCAAACAATACCCTGTTCATCCATTAATCTATTAAAGATCCAACGAAAGTGCACTAAAAAAAAATACCGAAAGATCGCAGGATTTTCTAATTAAGTCGTTAAGTCTTCAATAAGTAATTGATTATAGGAGCTGTTTGGAACTTCGACGCGTTTTATTCAGTGGATTCGTGCACAGATTCGGCTCTATTCAGAGAAATTATGGTCTGTTTTACAACCGAAACAGGGCTACCGCGAGGCGTAATAATTTCTATGAAAAGCAGTCGACTAAAACGAGGTTAAGGATAGTTCCATAGATAGGCTAAAATTACCTTGTAAATGAACGTAAACGAGTATATATCATGCACTGGGATGCGACTGTAACAGTTTGGGGATCGACGAATGCGCGACATATGCACCGAGGCTAATCAAAATTTTAAACTCCGTCCCCAAAAGCTCTCATGTCACATCGAGCATGAGCATTAATTAAATTTTCAAGTACATAATGGCAATAAATATCGTATCACATACTCGAGTCATTAACGGAGATGCACTTTGTGACGGTCTCTGATTGAAACGAAATATTGCCTGTTTAATATTAATGCGTGAAAGTACTAAGAACCTGTTTTTTAAATTCCGATACTCTTCTTCGTCGCGTGGAAACTCGGTTCTGTGTTAATGTTATTCGTAGGAACTCGAAATTGGAGTATTTCGAGAAGTTCGCTCTATTTCTTTTTCTGTTATCGAATACCAAACAGGATTTCTCACGGACAGGTCACCGGCTGTTTATCATTCGATCCTGCGCGCATCCAACACCCGAGATATTATATGGTTTACGCGAAGGAAATAGTAGCTGGCCGAGGGGTAGGGAAATTTTCTTCCGCCGTAAGGAATAAATCTAGCCGGTGACCATGTTGTCGCTCGTTTTATTCCTCGGCTTTCCCCTTTTTCTTACGCCAACGAGTAACACGAGATAAATCGGGTTACGTATATACGTATGTGTGTGTTCACAGGCCAGCATCATCGCGATGGGTAATGGTGATCGAGCTAGAGTAACCCAGACGCCCTTATCGTAACTTGTAATTATTGGAAAATTTCTGAATCGTATTTTCGAGTGGACGAGAGTAAAATGTAAATTGACTTTAAAAATCAGACAGTATTGTCCTGCCTGATCAAATTATCACTGGCAAAATAGGTAAAATCAAATACTAATAAAAATATAAGCTATGTACATGAAAGCGAAAGGCCATAAGCAAAAATGTGCATGAATTTTTTAATAAATACGCGTAATATAAGAGGAATGTAGGGGATAGTGCAACATAGGGAGGATCCTTTTGACGGTACCCCGAATGTGTACCCTTGAGCAGAACGCAGGAATCCCATTTACGAAAGTTTGTCCTGCATTTTTTTAATATTCCGCCCCGGGGATGCCTCGAGGAAACCGCGGCCCCGTTTCGAAACGATAAATCATGATTAAAGAGACTAACGAGAGTAGAGAGTTATTCGGGTTCCATCCGGCGGAGAAAGTTTCAAATGCGCGGACACGCATAAATAAACAAGCATTTGGCAAATGTAAATTGACTAAGTGACTGGAACGAAATGCGCTGAAACCTTTCTGACGTCCAGCTTCAGAACTAATGGATTGGTTTGCTTTGAATGTCATCAAGCAATATGTCATATTAAAATTTCATTAACCAACTGTTTAAACAGATTAAATTTTCCCATTTAGAATAAACGTTGTACATTTCAGAATATGCAAACCTTCGAAGTATTTTTATTAAAATGAAAGGAGATTCGAACAGGAAATCTTTCAGAAATTTTCGTAAAGTCACCTGAATTTCTAGATAGTCTTCAAGATGAAATTAAATTGATGAAGAATTAAATTTCACCTTATTTGAACCGCAATGTGGATAGTAAAAGTGTCAGCGAAACTGTCATCGATTAAATGCCCTGACTTGAATTAAGGATGTATTGGCTATACAGTCAATCCCAAAAGTTTATGCACTTTAGAAACGCATTTTTTAAAAAGAAATCAGACGTTGGAAGAACATTGCTAATAATAAACAACAAAAAAAATTTTTCGTCAGCGTTAATACTTAATTAGATATTTCCTTCTATACTTTTTAGCACGTAGCTATTTATTATTAGCATTGTTCTTCCGACGTCTGATTTCTTTTTAATTATAGGAAATGCGTTTTTCTAAGGTACATAAACTTTTGGGATTGATTGTATAGCCAATACATCCTTAAAATGTGACCACGCATAAAGCAATAAGGTCGTCAAAAGACAACTATCTTTTCCAAGTCACCCCTCGATCTATCCCTCGACAATGTATTTCCCACCCTTGAGCCACCAGGAATATCGCCAAGGGATACTTTTATCTCGGCGAACAAAATTGGTATACGCGCTCCAAGAAGTGGCTAACTACTTCCCCAAAATTTTCTTCAGAGGAATTATCTTTAGCAAGCATATTAAGCAAGATCACTGATTGCTTTAGTTTGATTAGATCAAATTTAAGTAACATTTAAATTTTGTACAAAACAGAGCATAATCTGATTTTATTTGGAATTATGTTAAAATAACAGTTTGTCTACATTGTGTCTATGTGTTTGTAAAAAATAAATGATTCTGAGTTTGATTATAAAAGAAATTGGCCTGGTATGACTGTAGAGGACAACTGTGCATCGGATCGTTTTCTCGGATATATAATTTTAGAACTTGGCACAATCCGATCTTATTTTCATTCAGGCCAGAACGTCGCGGCGCCGCCGTTTTGACACTGACTTACAGCGCCCTGTCCTTACCAGACAACGTGTCTCGGTTTCTATCGATTCCTTACAGAAGCGAACACTTTTCATACCAACTACACCAACGCAATCGGGGCACTTTTTCAAAATCCTTGAATCGGACGCGGGATCGGACGAAATCGAAGCAAAACAAATACGAACCAATAGTGGCAAACAATGTCAGAAATTCTGACGGAAGAATAACAAATTCAACTCTAATGTTAAAACAATCAGAATGTCTACATTACTTTGAATCACATACACATTTGGTTTAGAGATAAGGCCAGAATTAGATTAAAATTGTACATAATATAAACTTAATAATAAAGAATTAAATATAACAATAAATATTTATCCATATACATACATATGTACATCTACGTAATAAATGAGTAAAACAATATGATATATGTACATATCTAAAATGTCAAGAAAACTTATAGCCTGGGGTCAGTTTGCCCTTCGGATAGAAAATTGTTATCCATACTTGAGAAGGTAACGAAAGCTCGCGATCTGACAGGCTGACGGGCGACAACGTCTAAGTATAAGGGAGAGCCAGTGTTGTTTCGATAAACGAGACGCGACTGCGAAATAGTCGATCATGAACAAGTTACACGAGCTAATACCGGGGATCGAAAAAGAGACGATCGATCGCGACTGAAGGAACACCGGACGACGAGAAATTTAGAAATTGCAATAGCTTACGAGTTAATGAAACCACGAATTATACTTTGTGAGATTGGATCTCGTGGAATAAATTTATACGCACGATATTCGAAAGCCAGAGATTTGTCGCCTACCGCACGCTGTTGTATGTTGCATTTTAATTATTCAACGGGAATACGTGTGGTATACTGATCCGCGCGCTTTGAAGATTATTAAACAATCGATTTCAACGTGGTTAACGTTAATTCCCAGTTTGATTCTGGATTTACAGTATAATCACTGAACTGCGTTAATAATCATATCTCAAATTGTATTCACTGTACCGTAGTAACAGATGTAACATCACATCATTGTATGAAACATTTCTATGATTCCATGCGATTTTCTATTATTCGTACCGAAATTAAATGATAATTGGTGCATGCTGACTCACCTTGACGGGAATGCAGAAGAGTATGAGCAAAAGATCAGCCGTTGCCAAGCCACCGAGGAATACGTTCGTCGGTGTCGCCGGTAAGGGTCTCAATCTCGGGCACAGAGTCGAACCGATAATGACGACGTTTCCTGCAAATAAAATTCTATTAAAAAATACGTTCATCCACTTTTTCTATCAGTTTCCCATTAAAAGTTCATAAGTAATACGTCCTCAGCTTCACAATTTTCAATCGAATTTTCCTTCAATAAGGCAGTGGCAGTAAATATAAAATCTAATGCCAAGTTCATTCAACAAATTGACAAACATTCGAATAATTATTCATACTGCAAAGTTTAAACTAAAGAAATAATTCCGAACTATTTTTTTTAAAACCGATAATAATAATAGGATAGTTCTTATCAATAACTGTATAGATAAAATGACAGTTAATGAAAAATTACACCACGTGTAGTTCGATAAGAAAAAATAGAATTAATTCAAATACTTCTATTTCAAATGGCTGCTATTCGAGTGCAGTATGAAATTCTTTGCATAACGTAACACTGTCGCTGGAATTATCAAATCTCGCGTTGATAAAAGTGACAGAACGGAAGGAGCTCATGATAACGTTAGTCACCGCGTGTCGTCCCGAATAAATTTTTCCAACCATTCAATGCAACTAGATATGCGTTCATGATAAGAGAATATCTACCACAATTCGCTCGCAAAAGAACAGCAACGTTATTATTTTTCAATATTCTATTTATTACGATGCTGATGATTTCTCTTAATCAAAGTTTCTATCTTATTTTTATTTCTCTGTGACTGATTTCTTTTCCTCAAGCTTTCTTTTATTATATAAGAAGTCATTCTGCAAGTAAAAGAATAATAGATAATGCCTGAGTAATTCTTATAGAGAGATACTTAGATCGTTCACTCAATGATAAGATACATAAAAACAATGACAAAGCATTGAAATCTTAACAGTTATTAAATGTAACATTAATAGAACATTGTACAAAATTTTAGTAATGCTGCGGGGATATTAAGATTATATTAAGAGTTCTTATGTTGAATAAGGAAACTTTTATTTCATTCATGAAAAATATAAATGTAACAATGATAGAATTTTGTATTTTTTTATAATCGTCCATACGTGTTTTAAGAATATTTAGAAGTCGAAATAATATTAACTTCGATATTACTTAAGACATACAATGAAAAGTAAACAAAAGTAAGAATTGTAAGACTTGTAGGACTTTACACAATAGAAAAGTAAGAATTGTAGAACTTTAAAAATGATACGTTAGAAACTCCCTGTGACTTGAAGAAACAGGTCAAACACGCGTGGTTCATTATAAAACTTACTTCTCTGTAAATATCATTTTTCCTAAAAGTTTATTGTTTCAAATATTGAATAAAGCTTCTTATCAAATTTCTTAAACTTTTGGCATAGATCTCATAACTCATACAATCTTAATCGAAGGACAAAACTATGAATTAGAATATTAAAAATTATGCATTAAAAATTCCTTATGACTGAGAAAAATAGGTCAAATAATTTTATAAACCTCAGCCCTCTGTAATTATCATTTTTTCTAAAAGTTTATTTCTTTAAATATCAATTTTATTACGTGTGTTAAACTTTTGGCTCATACAACCTTAAACGAATTTGCTCATAAAAAAGTAAGAAGAATGTAATTATTTTTCAATATGCTACCCATTATAATACTGACATTTCCCCAATCAGAATTTCTATCCCACTCTTATTTCTGTGACTGATTTCTTTCTCTCAATCTCCCTCTTATTATACAAAAAGTCAGTCTATCTTTAAATGAAAGGATAATAGATAATTCCTAAGTAATTCTTACAGAAAGATAAATCGTTCACTCACCGATTAATCCAAGGCAGAACGTGAGGGAATAGACGACGAGCACCGGTGCCAGTTCCGCCCAGTCGAAGCGGCTGAACGACTCGTTGATGTCGTAGTCGAGGAACTCGTCCGTCGCATTAGTCTTGTTCGACATGGCTGCGATTACCTTCTAAGCAACGACAGTTTAGAGACCATGGCCACTCGACCAGCACCGACCACCAGCACCTTTCTCATCTCGTGAACACTCTTTGTCAAACACTCCTAACCACCGTAATTGGCACCATTTGCCACCACAACCAATCAATTTTCCTCGATTTCTTCCTCAAACGAAGATTCCTTAAATGCCGCGAACAATGCCGGTCCTGATAAAAATAGAGAAAAAGTAAATTACTTTTGCTGTGTTCATGTTGTGTACTCGGTTAAAAAAGTTAGGCGAATGAGATAAAAGATGAATAGTAAAGAATGGCCGAAGTTCGAGTTGCAGTGTTCATCGTCGATTGTTCACTAAGTGACTGATGGAAGAACCGTCCCAGATTTTCTATCGTCAAAAGAGTGAAACTTTCGCGAAAGCGAATTGAGCCAGGCGTATACACAGTCGACCGAGTGAGCAAGCAATTGGATGGTTAAAAGGGACTTCAACTGGTTCAACGTAAGCTCTGTATTCGGTTTAAAGGCTACGAATGCCACAATCAGCTTCCTCTTAAATACACACACGTAGACCGGGCGTAATTTCAGAGTATAATAGCGACCGGTGTATATAATTCATTTGAACTAAAATTGCTTCCCACGTGCTCCCCGACCATGAGATTCGATTTGGAAACAATGCCTACGAGCATCGTTACGCGAGGTATTCGAAACAATTATCGAACAGTTCCTCCTCGGAACGAGCGTCCACTGTATCCTTAAAACTAAATGGGGAAGCCTGATCGAAGATCTTTGAGAAAAAATAGTAAAAAATGAAAGTCTCTCACTCTTTCTTGTTTACATAAACTCGAAGTCAGTCCCTTTGAAACAGCTCCTCTCGCGGGAAATTCTGATCCGCCGCAAAGAAAATTTATATACTCCTGAAAAGCGAAATTCTGACGTTGATATTACCGAGTTTATTTATGCGGTGAAACTATATTACGAGAACGCGTGTTCTACGAAAATTCATGCGACGCGGTTCCGTAAATTTTTGAAAACGTACAGATAGGGAAGAGGGTTGAAGAGCCATTCGATTTAAGACTGTGTCGTGCGTCTCTCAGCTGGGAAAAGGACGAGACCATTCATTCTAGACGCGTTTTTCGTTTCCCCCAGCTACGTTTAAAAAGGAGCCCCGCTGAACGAGAGATCCTGTTTTCAAGGCTTACCCGCAGCTATTGAAACGCGACGAGTATTTTTGCTTACACGTTAAAATCGTCGAGAATCGAAACGCGTCTCTCGCTTTACACAACCGTGACCTCGGTCGCATGGCTCATTAAATACGATTGCCAATAGAAACACTTTTTATCTTCGTTTCGGGAATTCAATTTCCAGGCGAGGAGTCGTTTCCGAAGAGCATCGTTCCACGGACGGATCAATTGATATTCAACATTAAAAGTGACATAAATATGGCAAGATCTTAAAAACTTAATAAAATTCTCGATTATTTGAAGAGGGAATAAAATTTGCAGGCATTAAGTATAATAAAAATTTGTTTGACCCATAATGCTCTTATCTCGTGGGACATTAAAGTCTTAACCACGGTAAAAAGTGGAGATTGCATTCACAGAATAAAAACTTGCGAACCAAGTTGTCCTAATTCATTTGCTGCTATCAGCAGAATCATATTTTACTCTTATCGTCATTAACATTGATCAGGTGCTTCATTTATTAAAGCTAATACAATGAGGTACTGCGATGAGCATGCAACATTGTTTCCCGTGGAACTGAGCAAAACCTCATGCACACAGGAAAGCAATTAATCTTGTAAACGTTCTTGACGGTTCCAATCCGAAGATGACAATCAATATTTCTTAATCTTAAATTAATTATAGCAAAATACTACTTCATGCATTCGAAGTGTTTTCGAGTCCTCCTATATTCCTAAGAGTAACTAATTAAGTCTCATTATGAGTTACTTAGTCGAAAATTGAGTACTACAAGTACTTGGTATTTAGTATTGCAGGGAGCCACATGGAATAAAAGCTTAATGGAACTTAGCTCCGTCTTGTCGATCGCATCGATCATCGTGGTGAATCGATAAAAGGAAACGTGACGAACCGGTAGATCAGGAAAGGCGATTAAGGTCATTACAAAAAATAGCACCCACAGAGTGATTTCCTAAAAACTAACTTTCTAAACATTTCTCAAATAATACTACTAAAACAGTATAATCTAATCTTAAATCAATATTTGATTAATTTCTTAATATTATACATAATTCCAAATATTCAAATAGAAAAACAAAGTTCTTAAAGATTTTAATTATCCTTTTCTAATAGTTCGAGCTAAAAATTAATAAAGTATTAGGCTTTGAGGGAAGAATCCAATCATCATTATTATATTATTAGATAAATAATCTACTTCATGTTCCACAATTCTGTTGTAAATATCAAACGTGCTAATTCTAATTGGTCCATCTTGCACAGAGAGAAGCAGTGGAGGAGGATTCATTAATAAACAGGATTCCTGTATACCGAAATAAAGCTCGATTGACCCTACGTGACCACGCGAGTGGAAGCGAGCGTTTGACGCACTCGAGACAGATTGTATCAATTCTCATCGCGAGCGTAAACTCTCTTCTCCATGGATGAACTTAAAGGGAATTGGTGGAATAAATATACGGATTCTCATTGAGACCGACTGACTTGTTCCGCGTTTAATATTAATTCGGGCTTATTCCTCGAACCTTTCAATTAACCATGTGAAAACAATGAGAGATCTAATATAGTTTCTCATTTTAATAAATCCTGAACGTCTTGAATCTGAAATGTGTATCAAAGTCCTTTAACAGAAATAATGAATAAAGACGAGAATTTACGCTGATTCATCTTCAATAGTACCCATTTACTTCAATGAATTCATTTCTGCATAAAAGGCTTCTTAAATATACAGCTTGAAGAGAATTTCCTTGCTGCACAAAGAGCAACTACCTTACTCTAATTAAAAAAAAATAGGGTCGAAAGAACGAAGCGTTACATTTCCTGATTAGCAAAATTAGAAAACACCCAATGTGTTTAAATAAAAGTACACTAATTTCCTGTGAAATTAGAGTGAAAACAAGTCGCAGTAAGCAAGATGCTTTCGAAAATGTTCTCGAGTAACAACAAGACCATTGAAACAAAGGTTTTGAATCCAAAATAATTGCCAGTGTAAATCGAATTTTTAATAAAACCGCATTAACTGCTCTCGCAATCGATAATAATTGCTATATTCCTTCATGTGAGACTCCATGTCTCTAGGAACATTATAAATCAGTTTTAGCCTAATGTATTTTTCCTGTACCACGTGTCATAGTGAAGCTGTATTAAAACGAATTCTACTGTCCATGCATGTATTTTCATATTCATCTCACGGAGTCAAATCGCTTTGAATTTCAATCGCGTCTCACTTTTTATAACGAGGGCTTGCCCGAAATGAATGCGTAACATTGTTGCCATTAAAAATTCATCGTTCACACAGGAAGATAGGATGCGCTCAGAGAGATGAAACTGTGCAAGCCCGGTTCGAATCCAGGTTAATTACATAAAAAGAAACGGTTTACCCGCTACTATTTTCGATAACCATAAAAAAAGCATCCTCACCGCGAAACGGAGCGGGCACGCTACTGGCGCTCGCGTTTATACATACACATTCGGATTCGTTCGCGGAATTCTCGTCGCGCTTGGAAAAATTTAATGCTTATTATCTTATCAGTTTTCTTGACTCCGAAGCGAGGTACCTCTAATGGATTTTGAAACAAACGGGTGACCTTCCACGCGCTGATACATAACTTTGGATACAGTAAAAACAACCGAAGTGCTGGCGAGCTTAATCGTTTCCTTTTCTCCGTTTAATTCGCGAATACCCTTTCGCGAGGCATTTTAATTAACAAAACAATAGCCGAATGAGCATTTCGTAATAATTCCTCTTTTTGCTATCACTCTATTTTACGGATTCACTTCGTAAGTGAAATCAAGCAGAACTCCGTTAATTAAAAATATATAATGAACTTCCCGGTATGAAATCAAGTCAAACAACGTAAATTACAAGATTTAGCTTTACGTACTGCGTGCTAGTGAATACAAGGTGTGGGAACCGTTCGGTAATAAGCTTAGGGAACTCGCGTATTAATCGCGTACACGTTTCGTGCTTTTCGTCCCGAAAGAATCCTACCTGTAATTCCTGACGCGTTACAGGGAAAATAAATTTCATGTACACTCCTGGCTTTGGCAGATTAATGCTCTTTCCTAATACTGTTCTGAACGAAATGATAAATTCGTTAATACAAAATCGATTATTATAAATTAGCCGGCAATCAAACTGGGAAGTTTTACTCTAATTAGCAGCAATCTGTAATGAAATATTGAATTAACGACGAGCTTCTGTTTGAATCTCATTAAATCGATTTTATTCTGAACAGTGAATGCCGCAGTATTCAAAATCTAATTACCTCAATTGGTTCTATGAGCATTCGATTGATCGTCTTATTCGCGTATAATCGGGGTTCGCCAATTTTTGTAAAGCTAGTCCGCGTTAAAGCCAACTAATTTTTACAATTTCATTAGACGGATTGATTAACGATTTGTAATCTTGTATGCCCATCACGAATGAAAAATGACGCTTCCACGAACTTTGCATAAGAATCCTAATGAGCCACGGTGTATCCATAATGCCGTTTTACTGCTAAGTCAATTTACGTCGTAATTACATTTGAAAAATGAAACTGTGACAAATTTCAACGTGTTCATAAACACCACCGCAAATATTTAACACTCTACGTGTCACTAAACTTGTACTACTTAGGACCAATTTAAACTAACTATGTTTTTACTGCTCGTTGGTATTCGTATTAAATTTTGTATGAAGATTCTCGTAACCCGTGAATGAAATAAATAAATAAATAAATAAATATATTTTTATTCTACAGATTAAGAATCGAAAATAACATAAAAAATAAGTACTTGTTTTATCGTAGATTTTAACGTATGTACCAGTTCTTAATTGTGACAACACATAAAACGAACTTTTGAAGACACGCCCAGACTTTATTATCCCGTAATCAATTTCATTAATGGCCCACAGTTTTTGTGTAACGATCGTCACGGTTATAGTCCACGTCTAGTTTCCATCGATAATAAATCGCGAGCTGGTCGTAATTTCCGCAATTAGAAACGTGAACCCATAAATCAGGCGGCGCTTT